AGGGATACTCTCTTAGCCTAGACACATGGGGGAGGGTCTAGGCCCTGCTGCAAATGATGACAGACTTTGAAGATTCCCCCATGGAAGGCCTCCAGGGACCAAAAATGGGATGGGATAGGGCATTGGTAGGGGGCAAGGGAGGAGGGGAGAGGGAACTGAGATTAACATGTAAAACAAGCTTGTTTCTAATTTACTAGCCATGCCTTCCAGGAGCCCCTCAGCAGGTGGGGCTACAGCTTCCCCTACAACAGGGTACACTAAGCATTTATCAGTAAGGACAATGGGATTGGTAATTGATAAAAAGGAGGGATAAGGAAATAAAGAGTGGGACTTAGAAAAGATACTGGATGAAGCTATGAGAAACAGTAGTGAGTTGTGATGGTTAGTTTTCATGTCTACTTGCCATTAGTCTGCATAGAGAACCTCACCTTAAGAATTGTCCTGACTACCTTAATTGATATAGAATTCACCCTGAGTGCGGGTGGCACCTCCTGCTAGCAGCCTGGATAAAAAGGGCCTGGTAGAAAGATGATTATTCATTCAACTTTCAATTGATTTACTCTCCTTCTTGCCCACTCAGACTTTGGGGCTTCTGATTCTTCACTGGTATCAAAACTAGAGCTATCAGGCTTCCATTGTTCACTGAGGATCAACAGCTCTCCAGGAACCTTTAGCACCAGAATGGAACAGCTTCATGGACTAAACAATGGTTGAATTGTTGGCTCTCCTGTGTGAGATAACCACTGTGGGAGTGCTCCAATCACTGAGGCACTGAGTCTCAAGGACCAAGCAATTCCTGGGTTCTCACTATCTTGGGTGTGAGACAGCTGTAGCTACTATTTCATGTAAGCTGATTTAGTAAATATATATTCATCCTATAGGTTCTGTTCCTCTAGAGAATCCTGACTAATACAAGTGAGAACAAATGGGAATAGAACTGATCAAAACAATACAAAAATGCTGAGTAAATATTTCCTCTCTGAGTAGATGGAGAAAGGAGATGTTATTTTATAGTTTACTGGTGTGTGTGTGTGTGTGTGTGTGTGTGTGTGTGTGTGTGTGTTGAATTATTTTCTATGGAAGTGCATTTTTCCCCTTTTCATCAGATATATGCAATAGTCTTGCTCCAGTTGTACCCAGAGCAGCCACAGAAGGCCTGAGAGGTTCTCAGACATAAAAATTCTCAGGCTTCATCTCAGACCCAGTGAATTAAAATTCATTTAAACAAGACAACACCCCCATGATTTACAATGTCCCAGAACTGGTTGACATTTTAAAAGGGTAAATTGTGAGAATTTCTTCCCAACTTTGTCTTCAATAGCATGACATTGGGAAATGGAAACATCTCTGGTGAAGTGTTGATGTCATAGAAATAAAACACTGGACCTCAAGCTTGTTTCCAAGAACCAATCATTAAATATTTACCAAGATACCACTGAGTCACATGTACATTAATATTTGAGAAGCGCTGGCACACCAAGTTATTTTTCATGATTGCATAGTAGAGATTTTTGAAGCAAAAATGCACATTTAACATGCCCCATGCTCAGCTGCATAACCCACCATTGTAAGAACCACTGAAGCTGTCAGTAAAAACTGCAAGTTTTTATATATCTTTTCACTTGCCACATTTTACATCTCAAAAGATAAATTTTCTAAATGTGATTGCTTCATTTTTATATGATTTGTCTTGATGCATATGATCAACTTTCCTTTTGCTTTTATGTTTACAGTAAGTCTTTCTTTAGAACTACCAAAGAAATTGTCTAACTAAAAGCAGGCATGTCCCAGTCAACAATCTAAACATTGAGCTCATTAAACATTATTATTTTTCCTTCCCTGTTTTCAGCTTATCTCACCTGCAATATCATTTTCTTTCCCCTGAATCTTCTTTGTGTATCTTTTTCATCCTAGCCCCAGCCATTCTTATTCTTAGGATGCTATAAATTCCCCAAAAGAATATTGTAAAAGTTACACATGTTTATGTGTGCACATATTTCCTCAGGAAGTTCTACGGATCTCACCATATGTTACTAGTGGTCCATTTTAAGTAGAAATTTCGGGTAATAAATCCACATGAAATCCAATATAAAGGAAGAAAAGTATCACAGATCTAAACTATGTCTCCCTAAATGCAATCATGGAATCTCCAAATAGAGGGCATTAGCTGTTCCGACCTCTACAAGTGTGTGTGTGCCACATCATATGCAATCGTTTTCTCCTGGGCAATTGACACTCGCCCACCTACTTGCCAAGTATTAACTGTTCCCTGCAATTGCTCATTTTCTACTATCAAATATTATCTAGTAAAGAACCTGTTTTGGTAGAAGCAATGCTTTCTAATAGAAAAAAAAACTAAATCTGATTTGGCAGAGAGAGAATATGTGAAATCAAATTAACTGAAGTCTCTAGACAGGCTACGCCCGGAGACATTGGTGTGGGTATTATTCACTCGGTCTGTAACAGTAACATGTACTTTGGTGAAGTGCACTGTGGTTCATAGTTAATTTCCTTTTATTCTCTGGTAAAATACAAAATAGTGGAGGCTGAAAAGAAGTCTGTGGAACTTTTCAAAAAACAAGTCTGTGGAAATGAAATAATGATAAATTTTGCAGTCATCTCAGCATTCAGGAAGGGCTTATAATGAAAGAAAAGATACCCACAAAATGTCAGTGTTTTGAACTTCAGAAAAAACTGCATTTTAATATATAAATATAAATCATACAGAGGAGTTGCACACTTTGCAAGGTTGTCTAAAATTCCTTATAAATGACAACATAGACACTAGACTAGACTAGAAAAGATCCCTAATCATTGATGGTATCCAGTTGTTCCCAAGACAGTTTAATGCTTCAGAATCAACAAAGGGTTGAACTGTGCACCAGGGAGAGATAATGCAGCTATTTATGCCTTATTGATTATTCACACTTTAAGTAAATAAATTGAAGTAAGCTTCAGCACGTTTTCTTCCTGCATTTGCACAAAACATAAAGCACCTGACAAACCAGAGCTAGCACTAGGCCCTCAATCTATTAACAAATAATGGAATCTCATTTTAACACGGCTCCTAGGTGATCTGCATGCATGCTGAAGCTTGAGGTTACTGCTCTAACGACTATTGAAACAACAAAATTGGGGTGCTTACATCCCTGGAACACCCACAGAGTCCACCATTCAAATGGGGCACAGGGCCGAAACCCAGTACTTGCTATCCTTAACCAAGAGACTTACTGTCCACGTTATTCTTTGATCTCTTTCTTCCCTAGCCAACATCAGGCCAAGGATCTGAAGAAAGATTTTCTAAAAGTGACAACATTCTTGTTCACTTACCATTTACACCTTAGAAACAGTTGGCAGTGGCCGGGGTTGGTGGTACATGCCTTTAATCCCAGCACTCGGGAGGCAGAGGCAGGCAGATCTCTGTGAGTTCGAGGCCAG